TACATTGTCTTGCTTGGGCGAAGACCGCTTTGAGGTGGGCTGCATGGTCGGTGTCTGCTCGGGATTTGACGATCATGTCGTCCATGTAAACCTCGAGCATGTCCCCGATTTGGTTGTGGAACACTTTGTTCATCATACGTTGGTATGTTTCCCCTGCGTTTTTTAGACCAAAGGGCATTACGTTGTAGTAATAGTTGCCCGAGCTGGTCATGAAGGCAGTGCAATGCTTGTCGCTCACGGCCATTGGGATTTGGTTATAGCCTGAATAGGCATCCATGAACGACAGTATTTTATAACCGACCGAGTTATCGACCAGCATGTCTATGTTCGGTAAAGGGAAAGCGTCTTTCGGGCATGCCCGATTGAGATCAGTATAGTCAACACATATTCGCCATTTTCCATTATTCTTTTTGACTAGTACAACATTTGACAGCCAGGTTGAATACCGGGCTTCAGAAATAAAATTTGCCTCTAAGAGGTCTTTTACAGCTTTTTCAGCAGCCTCTGTTTTCTTCGGAGACTGCCTACGTCTACGTTGTACTACCGCCCTAGCGGCTGGATCTATGGCGAGACGGTGACAAGCAACCTCGGGGTCGAGTCCGGGCATCTCTGCGGCGCTCCATGCGAATAAGTCAGCATTCTCGCGCAAGCAGGCTTTGATCTGCTTCCTTGCCAGGTCGGGGAGGTCGGTATCGATCTTCACTCCTTTGCTTGCGTCCTCGCCGAGGGGAACGAGCTCGAAGTCCCCGTCCGGAATTGTTCGGAGGGGGACTTGCTCGCCACTGGGAGGCTCATCCTGGTCGAAGCGGGTATCCAAAGCTACGGAGTCGAACTTTGGGGGAGCTTTCTGTTCTTCTGCCTTGATGGGCTCTGTTTTCTCGGGCTCTGGTCGTGTCGTCGCTGGTCTCTTGGCGGGCCTTGTCCCAGTGTCAACCGTGTCGCGTCCCTTGGATTCCGCGTTGAAACACCTTCGAGCGGCGGCCAGGTCCCCTTGGATGGTGGCGACCCGTGCCCTCTTGGTGTAAAACTTCATCTTCAAGTGGACGGTAGAGGGTACCGCGGTCAGTTCCGCCAGTGTTGGTCTTCCCAGGATGCAGCTGTAGAGGTACGGGCAGTCGATAACGAGGAAGCGCACCTTAACCTACCTCGTCGTTGTGTCCTCGCCAAAGGTAACCATGAGCTCGACATATCCCCAAGGTTTGGAGGTCGAGCCGTTGAAGCTCTGTAGGTCCGACCCCACATAAGGTGAGAGGTGTGAGTCGTCGAGTTGTAGGGTCCAGAATAGTTGACTGTACATTATGTCGACGGAACTTCCTTCGTCGACGAGAATGCGGTGTACGTCAAAATTAGCCATTCTCGCTCTTATTAGTAGAGGAATGACCGCGTTAGGGGCTCCTCCGGGGAGCTCTTCGAGGTAAAAGGTGATAGGCTCCGACCTACCTTTCACCCTTTCAAAAGTCAGCGTCTGAGGAGGTGCAGAGTCGACCAGTTCATCCAGCTTCCTCTTGGCCGAATTATGGTTAGGTCGTTGAATCCTCCACCATTGATGACCATGGCGGAGGGAAAGTGCTCTCACCTGCTGTGTGTTGACAACGGCTCTTACAAGAGCTCGGGGACGTAGAAGTCCTCAGGTCTTGTAATGGAGAAGGCGGTCTGGATGGGGACCGACTCGTCAGATGGTCGGGCATCCTCCTCCGGTTCTCTTGTCTCCCGGGCGTCGCGACAAGGAGCGTCGTTTCGCCGATATTGGGCGAGTCTCCCCCCTTTTATGAGGGTCTCGATGACGTCCTTAAGGTGGACGCAGTCCTCCGTCAGATGACCATGACTCCTATGGTACTGACAGTATTTGCTCTTGTCCACCCCGGGATTGGCAGGAGCTGGTCGAGGGCGCCTGACGCTGCCATCTTTGAAATCCGTGTTGGCACACTCCGCCAAGATGCGCTTGCGGGAAGCTGTGATCGGAGTGTATTCTGTGAAACGCCCCGAGGGTCCTCTTTGTTCTCGGATTTCTCAGGGTTTGTCATCCTTTCTTTTCTCCCCGGCTCGTCGAGGAGGAGCGGCCTCTTGGCGCAGGTTGCTGCTGGATCCGTGAGTTCTGGGATCACGGGCTCTGTTGGCCGCTTCCCTTTCCTCGTAATCCATATAGGCACTGGCCTTCTCGAGGAGAGCATCGAACGTCCGGGGCAGTTCGATGCCCACTGTTTTTCTGAACTCAGTACCGGGGAGGAGTCCCCTCTCCAGCAAGTATCTTTTCATGTGGTCCGCGCAGGGGGCCTGGATGGCTTCACGATTGAAGCGGTTGATGAATTCTCTCAAGGTTTCATCCTGCCTCTGGATGATAGCCTCGAGCGTCGCTTCGGTCTTTGGATGTCGCCGCGATGCGGTGAACGAGCTTATGAATTGATTTTTCAAGTTCCTCCACGAGGTGATTGACCCCGGGGCAAGACCCTTGTACCAATCCATTGCTACTTTCATGAGGGTTGTGGGGAACAACCGGCATTTGATGGGTCCCCCAACGTTATGGTAGTGCAGCATAGCTTCGAACCCGTCTATATGGTCGACTGGGTCGGCAACTCTGTCGTATTCCTTCAGGTGAGGGAGCTTCTCAATGCCCAGGGGGATTGGAGCCTCCATGATGGCTTGCGATAGGGGACCGCGGGGGTCGTCCTCATCACTTCGTTCTGGGGAAAGGGACGGGGATCTGAGGTATTGTCGGGCACGACGGTCCTGATCGTGTTGGATGTCCCTCGAGCGGTGTGCTCGTTGGTCCGTCCTTCTGTGTCTGTCTCCAGGATGTCTTCTTTCTTGTCGTAAGGGGTCGTGGTTGCGCCCTCCAGTTTCAATGATCGGTTCCCTCTCCAAGGGGGGTCGCCTCCCCGGTTGTCGGGTGAAGGGCTTCGGGAGGTGTCTTTGTATTGTCTCCGCGGGGGAGATGGGAGACGTACATCTGTCCTTCGAGGAGGTGGGGTCTGGGGCCTCCTATGTCTTCTCGCGGGTCTTCTGTCGTCCTCCAGCGCCCTCAATCTTTCCTCCTGGGCAAAGATGAGGTAGTTGGTTTGATTGATTGCCGCGAACAGTGCTCTGGTCGTGGCATCTGCCCCAGCAGGGACAGGGACCTCCTGGAGTTGGGCAGCTAGATAGTTTGTGGTAGCTGTATTGTCTTTTTCGAGTGGAGGGGGGACTGAAGAAGATGAGGCCGTGGTTCCGTCGCGGCGGCCTGAGGGCCCGGGGATGATGCCTCCGGGGAGTGTATTATGGCCGGGGTTGCCGGCGTTGTCGGGGATTCCATTTTTGTCCGTGAGGTTGTTGTTGGCATCGACGACACAGACGTTCTGGTCTTCTCGAGTCTGGTCTGCCATGACGGTGGAAGATGGTTTTTAGCTTTGGTCTTTGAGAGTAAGACGGGGAAGCTAGTTTCCCACAGACGGCACCACTGATCTTACCGGATCAGACTTGGACCGTCACAGCTGGCTCGAACTGGATTTGAGAGAGATGGGGGTACCTGCAAGACACTCTGATGCTAAAATGAGAGACAGAATGGGCTGGCAAAGAGTGTATAAGCGTGTGATAGATGAATACCTGACCCTCTTGGAACAGAGGGCATTTATAGCCCCCGGCGCTGGGCCAAGGTCCCCCCATTGGGCTGACCAGAACTGCCCAATAAAGGAACTGCTAGGTTCTACGTGTGTAGTAGAAACCTGCACGTGGTCCCCTCCCTAGTGGTGCTCTGCGAAGAATGAGGAAAGACGAAGACACGGTCTTTCCGGAGCTTTGAGGATTCCATAACGGTTAGAGTGGACGGAATCTGCCCTACGGGGAGGGTGCTCCGGAGCTTTGAGGATTCCATAACGGTTAGAGTGGACGGAATCTGCCCTACGGGGAGGGTGCTCGAGCTGGACTCGAGCTAGAGTTCTCTTGATCGGGGACGCTGCTCGTCGAGGGTAATGGCGGGCATAACGTTCGGTGATGGTCCGTTCGTGAGCATTCCCTGAGGAGCTGATTAGATCCAGGCCTTTATCTGCATTTTGGGCCAAGGCGGACCCAGTCCAGAACAATATTCATTACAATTTTACTCTTTTCCACAATCACTTGAGATTTATTCACACTATAGCCATGGGATTTCATTAATACTAAATCAAGAAAAAAGGTGAGAATTTCAAGCTCAATTTGAGAGAGAAGGTCGCTTTGAATATTTGGATTCTTTCTTTGAATATTTGGATTCTTTCTTGGAGTTTCCAAGATTATATGTTCATTCTTTGAATCATTACAAAATCAAGGGAAACTTAGAATTCAAATGCAAAGTAGATGCCAAGTCTCTCAAATCCATTCAACTTTCAAGACAAAGTTCCATACAAAGGTTCCAAGTACATTACATCATTAACCATTTAAAAAAAAAAAAATCCTAATGTCCTAATCTTCATCCTCAAGATTGCCTTCATATCATGCTTTAGCTTGAAAAGTCTCATGTTATGTCCAATCTCCGAGACTTTAACAATGTCAAACTAGAACCAAAACTGTTATGCACCTCACAGACAGATCTGTAACATGTCACGTGAAATTTCCAACCTACATATTCATGCCAAAACCTGCACGATATCATCACGGTTCAGTTCAAACATTCAACACAATCATACTATCCAAAACAAGTTGTACCAAGCCTATGTCTACATTAGTTCAACATATACATTTCAAATTTCAGAATAATCCATCACATTCAAACTGTCCAAGAAAACCCATTCAAATATCTGAAGAGAAGACAAGTTGTGCATACAAGTTTCACGTCAAGTCAAGTTCAAATCATACATTACTTCAGATTAAAATAGTAGCTACAATCACCAACATTTTGTAAAAGAAGCTAACTCAATACACCATGAAAAATGATCCAAAACAAATCAACAATAACAGCTACAGCAGCTACATCATCAATAATGAATAAAAGAGTTCCATACAAACCTTGTTTCTTGTATCAATAACATCCCCACGCTTGCTACTCTAATCAGCTATGTTGCACAAGACTCACTGTAATTCCAGCATGCTTGCAAGTTCCTACACCATGAAAATGACTTATCATCAGTATGATAACATGCATCATCATTCACATTAATTAAGAAATTGGGACTCACATCATGGTCAAGTTCCAAGGTTCACATAACAGTCCCGCGTGATTCAGTGCAAAGGCAATTTCAGTTTTGAGATTATGAATAGGGCAGTAGCATTCAGTACAAGTCAGGCTACACTACCAACTTATGACATTTCATCAAACATGTGATAGCCATATTCACTCACAATTCTACCCTAACAATCTAGGATGGAAAAAGTTTTAACCACCTAACTCACCTTCCCTCTCAGAAATTCAGTTAGTAAAATAACTTCAAAACAACTTTTTAACTAACTCTTTAACAGATTTCATAACTGTTTTTTCCTTACAACTAACTTCTACCTACCATCAACTAACTATAACCAACCTTCATAACAGAACTAACTAATCGAATTTCCTAACCTTCTGACTACCATAACTGCCAGCTTCGACAACTGAACTGTCATCTCATCTTAACTACCTTAAACCATCTGACTAACATTTAGCGAGCCCTCATAACCAACTAGACTCTCCGAATGTCCTAACAGAAATTAGAACTACCAAAACTAACTCTAACTATCTCTCGACTGACTCAAATTTAACCCGCCATTTCTTAAAAGAAAATCAGTTAGAAATAGCAGAAATCCTCATAACTAACCTGATAATAGATTTTTCAGAAACGATCTCCACCCTCTATTCTATAACTAACTTCATCTAATCCTAGGGCTGAGGATTCATTTCATCGAACAAACTTCTCAACCTCCATCTCCGATATAACAGAGGCTCCAACTTTAATCTCTGTGAGAGGCACCATTTTCTTCACTTTCACTCTTCCTCAATTATCACCCTCAAACTACACCCTGATTCTCTCTGCAACCTTCACATAATCACTCTTCTCATAGAACTTCTTCTTCAACCTAACCTCTCTCCCTCTGTAACTTCACGCATCTCTACTCCCTGCTTCAATCTTCGATCATCATCGTCGTTTTATTTCTCTATGCGCGCAACTTCACCACACGCAACATGTTGATCAACAATTCTGTGATTCCTTCAAGGTTCGGTCGCGAAAATTCCATTCTTCAATCCTCCATTGAACAATCGTCACAATGCCTCCTCATCGCAACGTCAACACATCATTGAACACACACGTCAACAACGACACCGCAACGACAACTCAGAAATCACGCAGAAGAAGAAGAAGGAAGTATCGTAAGAAAACGACAGAATCAAAGACGAAATACCTCGAATATATTTTGAATCTCTGGTTTTCTGCTTCTCGGTGTCGCCATTGAAGACGCACCGGACCGATCTCCGGCAGGCAAGCCATCGAAACTTCCTTTCTCGTCCTCTCTTAGCATTTTTCTTGTCACCACGATGTAGTCTGATGTGCTAGGACTGTTTTCCCTAAGGTCTTGCGTCAAGATCGTCAACCTTCATGATTTAATTTTACTTTTTAGGGCTTAGGTTTTTTTCGAATTTGTTTAGATTGAGAAGTAGGAGGAAGAATCTGAGGCCAAGGCATGAAAGAGAAGGAGAAGAGGTTGTCATTTGTAGTGGTTTGGTGTAGTTTAGGCTCGCTCCGCCGCCGGAGGAGCTCTCTCCGGAGATCGCCCATGCGAGAGAGAAAGAACATGAGGAGAAAGTCTAAATTGAGGTGTGATCCGAAACGTCACAATTGGTTTAGAATGCAGCGTTTCAATTGTTTTCTCAATATTCTCTTAATTTCTTTTTTATATTTACTTTCAATCAAATGACATAGAAATCTGAGTTGGGTTGGATTTGTGGACTGAATGCATATTTCGTTGGGTCATTATTACATGTATCCCGAAAGTCCATTGCTGCGTTTTTGGATATACGAAATGCGATTGTGAACACAAAATTCATTCTGGACCATGACCAATAAAGAACAGCTTCTGGACCATAGTTTTTTGGGCCTCTGCGCCATTCTTACTGCACTACATCTCAACCAATTCCGTACCCCCTGATCCTATTTTTTCTTTATTAGATTTAAGATTTAATTTTTCTTTTTTTATGATAAGAAAATTATAGAGTCATTAAAATTTATTAGTTTTTCTTAATTGATTTTAGGAATTAATTCTTTAGTTTTTGATATAATTTACCTCACATAAAAAATTAATAAAAAATACTTTTTTTCTTTTAGTTTTTTGTTCATATTTTACACTATTATGTCTTGTTATTTTTGACGTGTTTGTTCATTGTGCAAGGTACGTTTTGGTGCTTTCGATCATGTAATATAACAACTGTTATGTGATCGAAGCATGTGGCTTATGCTCGCTTCTGATGCAACATGACATATTTCTCATCGTCATGAGAAATTCATATCATATTATATGTTGTCCAGATACATGTGATATTTTGTGATACTTTGTGCATGAACTTTTAATTATGCGCTGCATTCACAACATGCGTGTGCTTTTATCTTAGTTGGATATCGTTTCTGACTTTGTTTGTTTCTTGGTGAAGCTTTCTCGGCACGTACTCCCTACTTCTCTATTGCTTTCGCCCGCTTTCGACGATATGCTTGCTTTTAGTAGTCGCCGCTACTACTTTTATATTTTCCCGCACTTTATCGCATTTCTTTACCGCTTTCTAGACATCATGAGAAGTAGGAAATAAAGAGCGTGCGCTCGAAGTCGCTGTTTAAAGACCTGTAGTAGGCATTCCACACTTGTTTTCTAATTGTGCTTGTGTTTACTCTTATCTTTTAACGACGGATGATGTCACTCATTTTGAGATAACGACTTCAGCTTTTGCATGCTCTCTATAGGATTTTATTGCTTTCTTTGTTGACGATCGATGATGTCACTCAATTAGAATTGAGATAACAATTTCGATCTTTGCATGCTCCCTTAGGGTTTATCGTTTTCCTTTATTAATGATCAATGATGTCACTCAATTAGAATTGAGATAACGACTTTGGTCTTTGCATGTTGCCTATAGGACTATTATCCTCACCCTTAGGTCTTTTGCATGCTAACGTAGATAGACGTTTCCCTTATGCTAATCCAAACCTTATGATCAATCATTGTATGATAACATTAGGATAAGAAATAGGCTAGTCTCTCGTAGACTCTTTTCTTCCCTTTTTACATATGAATTAAAACTAAGACTTTGTTTTTATTGGAAAATCATAAAACAAGCTAATCATACTTAAACCCTTTTTTCAAGGTAACAAAACACAAACCAATCAAACGTGACATCTTTCCTTGAGGGCATAAATCAAAATTATTTTCATAAGGGTTCGTCACCCATAAAAAACACAAAACAAACAGAAACATGTGAGTCGAACTACGGTGCTCTGATTCCTCAAAAGGGGTACGTAGGCAACATGTTGTGGGGCTTAACCGAGCAAAATTCGTAAATACTTCCTTCTTTTCCCCGCATTTCTTTTGCATGCATTCTTCCTTAGTAGTAAGCAGTAGACATAAATTAAATACACCCATAAGATAGATAACAAGAGTGGATACCATATAGTACTACGGGCGTGTGAGGTGTTAATACCTTCCCCTCGCGTAACAAACTATGTTACCCGATCTCTCGGTAGCAAGACCGTGACTTCTTCCTTCTCAGATTTTCTCTATGTTCACCTCTCCCTTCATGTGGGATAAAATATGTTCGATGGCAACTTTATTGTTTGATGATCTTCATCCGGTTGTTTCAGCTGATGACTTCACTGGGGACAGTCTACCAAATGTTGATCCATCCCGGAGTCGATCCTAGCTCTTGTTTTCTTTTCTTTGGGTGTTTACTTTTATGTTGTACAATTTATTCATCCATGCATGATTGCCTGAGAATATGTATGCATTACATTTTACTGTTTTCCATATACTACTATTGTACTGAATCTGCTTCTTGATTGGGTGAATCAACTACTAAAATTCGAGATAAAGAACATACGACCAAGCCTTCCCAGACGGAGGCATTAAAAGAAGTTACTATTGAAAACCCCTCCAAGAAAGAGATGGAGGAAATATTAAAGATTATCCGAAAGAGTGACTATAAGATTGTTGAACAGCTGGGGCTGTCCCCCTCTAAAATATCTATGTTATCCCTGTTGTTGTGCTCCGAAGCCCATGCTCAGGCTTTGGTAAAATTCCTAAAATATGCTCATGTACCACAAGAAATCTCTGTTGATCAGTTCAAAAATCATATTGTTAGCCTGACAACTGATAATGGACTAGGCTTTTCTGACGCAGACTTAACTTCCGCAGGAAGGAATCATAATAAGGCCCTGCATGTCTCTATTGAGTGAAGGGGCACTACCTTATCTCATGTGTTGGTAGACACAAGTTCCTCGTTGAATGTATTGCCAAAAAACTGCTTTAGACAAACTTGACTGTAAAGGGATTGTTCTAAAACACAGTGATATTGTGGTAAGAGCTTTTAATGGTTCGAAGAGAATAGTGCATGGAGAGGTTGATCTTCCAATCAAAGTGGGTTCCCTGTCTTCGAATCTACTTTCTATGTGATGGATATTCGTCTAGCCTATTATTGTTTGCTGGGACGCCCTTGGGTTCATGAAGCAGATGCTATTACTTCTACTCTACACCAGAAGTTGAAGTATCCCATAAAGGGAAAGATCGTTACAGTTTGTGGCGAAGAAGAATATATAGTGGGCCATTTTAATTCTTTCAATTATATCGAGGTGGGTGGTGAATATGTCGAGACTCCTTTCCAGACCTTTGAATTTGTTTCTCAGACAACCTCAGTTGACAAAGCTGCTTCTGCTATTCCTATGACTCCATCAAAAATGGCTTCTTTGAAAGACGCCATGGTTGTGGTTGAAGAAGGTGGTTACATTGTTTAGGGTTAGCTTCCCGATATTCCTTACAAATCTGACAAGTTTGGTTTGGTTTTCACTTCTCAAGCTCATAGGGTTGTCTGTTGTGCTCGTGCTAACTCTAGGAGACCACCTTTCCGCATAAAAAATAATGGAGTTCACAACAATCGTGTCAATGTTGTGGAAGACGCTGGTGGTGACTACGACATAGACAGTTGGATCTTCCCCACTATTGATAATAGGGTCAACAATTGGAAGGATGAAGATTTTATACCAATCTCATTTAGTCAGGAGTAAATTCTATTTGTAGTTTTCTTACTTTTAAGTTTTTGGTTATGTAATTTAAACAATGAACTTTAAGCCTTGTGCCTTACCCGGGGAACAATGGTCTATTTGTTAGGGTTGTCATTATTCATTAGCATATTTTTATTTAATAAATTATTGGACATTTGCATTTAAATTTTGCGCTCTTTGTATTTCTCTTACTTTATTGTTTTCAAAATAGCTATGTATTCTTACACACACCCATACAACAAATTACAAATCCATATCCATCTTGGATCCTATTGATAACAATTCTGTTATTTCTAATTATGACTTTGAAAAATCGATCTACCAAGCTGAGGACGAAGGTGAGAAAATTGTGAAATACCTGGAGAGCTTGCTAGGCTATTAATTCAAGAAGAAAGAGCCATACGACCACATGAAGAGTCAATCGAGGGGTTTGAATAGGGCAAGCCCCGAAGATGATTTTCTGCTTCCACATATTGATGTCCTGGTTGACAACAACGCTCATTATAAAGTATTTTCCTTCATGGATGATTTCTCTGGTTATAATCAAATCAAGATGGCACCTGAAGACATGGAGAAGACTACTTTGTCACACAGTGGGGCACTTTCTGTTACAAAGTCACGCCTTTCGGTTTGAAGAATGCAGATGTGACGTATTAGTGCGCTATGGTAGCTTTGTTCCATGATATGATCCATCATGAGATAGAGGTTTACATTGATGACATGATAGCCAGGTCCTAGACTGAAGAAGAACATCTCAACCATCTGCATAAGTTGTTTGAGAGATTGAAGAAATACAAGATGAGGTTGAATCCAAACAAGTGCACCTTTGGGGTAAGATCCGGTAAACTCCTAGGTTTCGTTGTTAGTGGTAAAGGCATTGAAGTTGATCCATCCAAGGTTAAAGCCATTCAATAAATGCCAGCTCCCCGTATTGAGAAGGAAGTCAGAGGTTTCCTAGGACGATTGAACTATATTGCCAGATTTATTTCCCATCTGACCGCTACCTGTGATCCAATATTCAAGTTACTAAAGAAATATCAAGTAGTGAAGTGGAACAACGATTGTCAGATAGCCTTCGAAAAAATCAAAGAATATCTTCAGGAACCTTTGATTTTGATGCCACCAGTTAAAGAAAGACCGCTTATCATGTACCTAACAGTGTTAGAGAACTCAATGGGGTGTGTACTAGGGAAACATGATCACCCCGGTCGAAAAGAGCATGCAATATACTACCTTAACAAAAAGTTTACCAACTGTGAAACAAGATACTCACTGCTCGAGAAAACTTGATGCACTTTGGCATGGGCTGCTCGCGGACTAAGACATTATATGTTAACTCATACCACTTTATTAATCTCTAAGATGGATCCAATAAAATACATATTCGAGAAGCCCACTTTCTCCAGAAGAATGGCAAGATGGCAAATGGTCTTGACAGAATACGACATTCAGTATACTACTCAAAAGGCAATCAAAGGAAGTGTATTGGCAGATCATTTGGCTCATCAAGTGGTAGATGACTATCAGTCTATGAATTTTGAGTTCCTGGATGAGAATACTATGCTAGCTACTGATTATGAAAAACCTGGACTGGGTGAAGGACTTGAACTGGGATCCCGATGGACTATGGTTTTTGGTGGAGCTTCCAACGTGTTTAGT